TATGATTCTATTCTATGATTCCATGTAGGTAAAACAAACAAAAGGACCATACTGTGGTCTCAGTCTGTTCTTTCTTCTGGTCTGAACAGTGTTGGCCTGTTTCAGTAATTGCTTCACACACAAAAAGTCTTGGTTCATTCTGGTCCCAGAAATGGCAAGCAGGGATGTGGCTGTGCAACTCTGGATACTCCAAAACAGACCTACCAAAAGACAAGAAAAAAATGTAGAAAGGGAAACAAAATAATTCCAGCCCATTCAGTTCATGAATGTAAATAAAGGACTAACAAGGGATAATTTTCAGATGATGATCAGTTATCTATCTATACCAGTACCTCTGCACTGTAACAACAGCCATATACATCTTCCTACCTCCTAACACTTTATACACGGCAATGCCACTTTTAGTTCATGCTGTATAACATAACCATGATTATAGGACACAAAGCATTTCAGCACAAAGCAAGCTTGTACTACCACAAATACAAATAAGCACCCAAAATCTGCCCCCAGTGAGATTACATGTCCTACAGAAATACTTGTCTTTTTGTGGGTTTTACAACCTGCTCCAAGGTGCCTATTGCCAGCACTGTTACTAATTCCCAGCCACATTAAAGACAGCTTGAGTACACTGATGTGCATTTAGATAAGCCGTAAAGAGAGAGTTTCTAGTACATAGGCCTCACGTTCAAATCCAGCTAAACAGCAGTCATAAGAGATCACAACTAGACAATTATCATTAAACTGATGGGGAAAAAAGTAAGAAATTAGTTTCTATTCTCAGGCAACAGATCTCTCCCTACTGACAGTTCAGCAGAGAGTTGGGCATGCAGCATGATCGATGCTCGGAACTCCTGAACTTCTCAGTGCTGAGGGAAACTCGAGTTGCAGCTGAAACTAACCTGCAGCTGAGGGACTTCAGTCTCTACATATGCCACAGATTCCCTTTTCTCAGCACTGTGTCTTAAGAACTCCGAGGCACTGTGAAATAGCACACTCAGCACAAGGGCGACCCGTGCTGCTTTAGAAAAACCACCCTCTGGCAGTAGTTTAAAAAAGAAGCATCTAACTGCCTCCTTCAGGCATTTAAATACTACTTCATCACCGACCATGTTAAGACCCTAGACATACAGAATCAGATTATTTTAGCATGGCGTAGGATTCTTCAGAAAAAATACAGAATATAAATGGTGTCCAGTTTTTAAAAAGCAAGAAACCAAAGACATGATTAAAATATTTTTCTCACTTGCTGTCACAACTGAAGGATGGACTTTGTGGGGAGAACCAGAGTAGGGCTACAAGGAAAATTAGAGAGATTGAAAGGGATGCAGAAATACACAATGTCCTATCCATGCCACTGAATTCAAGATAAATTCTCACAACTGAAACCTGCAAACCGAAAAAACAGTATTTGTGTAAAAAAATTGGGAGTGTTTAGATTCTGCCTCAGGAGAAAAGACACAAAAGGGGAAGAAGTGTAGATAGTTATTATTTTCTAGTGAGTCTACTCATTCCAATTTCAAGATACTCCAAAACGAAGTACAGATAAATGGATTACTCACACCATCACTATCTAGTGTCTGAATATCAGAGAAATAGTATTACTAGCTTGTGGTGGCCTCTGTTGAGCTATACAAGATACTACACTTGAAAATTACTCCCTACTCATTATTACACTGTTTGCATAATTTGACCAAGACAAGGCCCCAGATTTGCACTGTCCCTGGTTTTTGATGAGCTGGGTAGTTTCTTCTGGTCTTCAGTGGTAAGGAAAGTAAATCTTTTTTTGCTTGTAATACCTAAAAAAGCAAACCACCTTCTATCCTAATGCTGTTTTTTCTTAAGAAAAATATAGTCAGAAAAATTATTGTAAAACCAGATGGGAAGTTGTACCCAATATTCCACTGCACTTCCATGAGAATTTCTAGTTCACTGCATTTTGCTGCCTTGCTGCTAGGATTTCTAGTGCATTCAACACAGAATAGCTTGTATGAAAACAGAGCTGTCAGTTCTAAACAGACGTTATGACTTTTTATCCATACAAAAACATCCTGCATTGTACTTCAAAATTAACTTTTTTCCTAGGAGGAGCTTCAGAATGTCCTCTTTTTAGTTCCTTCCCTGTAAACTCTACATGGAAGAGTAGCTTCCCAAGATTTTTCTTTAAGATCAGGATCCTGATTACAGTCATATGATACCTCTATGCATATGCCACCAACATCTAACCATCCTCCTCTCAGAGATCTCGAGCCAGATACAGCTTCCACATATCTAATAAGTCTCGCTACATTTGTCTTCTAAGAATTTCTCCAACACCTCAATGAACCCTTCCTTCTTCATCTGTAACTTCCTTTGGCAACGAGGTCCTTAGCTCAGCTGCACACTGTCTGAAGAAATGCCTTTTCCTGCTTATTTTGAGCTTGCTTTCTGATACCTCCATTTGACACTCCATGGTTCACGTATTGGAAGAGACAGTAATGCAGGCTGATTCACATACCATGCACCAATTGTGATTAATTCTTTAGAAACAGAGTAATTAAATTCATACAAGCTCCTACACAAAGAGGGGAATGCCAGTATCAAGGCGTTCCTTGTACTCATAGGACAGATTCCTATCTTAAATCCACAAGCAACACTTTTAAAATAAAAGCTTCTTACTTGTCAGTGCCTTGCCCAGAAGAAAGCTTCTTCCTACCATTTCCCTGTTCAGCCTTGAAATCAAAGAGCGTAACTTTGTCCATTTCAACATCATAGAAACAGATCTTGGAATCAATGTTCCCATCCACCTACAAGAAGGGAAAACAAAAGTTGCTGAAACATGCAGTTAAAAAGAAAAAAGGTAAAGTTCAGATGGTACGCTTATTTCAACTGATTCATGCTCTCCATTTTGTTTACTGGCAAACACACAAGCGCATTCTGTGTTTTCTTGCATTTCTTCTATTCTTGCAAGTTAGCCTTCGTTTTCTTTGAAACACTACAAAGTAACTTCTATGACTGAAATACTGCTTCCTTTTCTGGGTTGTCCTTCTCACCACATATACAAAACCTTAACATACCTTAATTTTAGTGTTTAGTTACATGCTTAGACATGACATTTCAAGACCTGATACACCGCACAGAATGTGTAGGTTCTGAGAAATGAATCTTATGTCTTCGGTAAACTTCTTGAACTGCACGTCTATTACCTAGGGGGGTAAGTGAAGAGCTTTGCCTCACCTTGCTAACAAGGATGCTGACTTTATTGCCATTAGCATTGCACTTAACAGATGCAATGCCTCCAAGGCCAGGAAACAGCTCAGAGAAATTCTTGCTACTGCAATGCACTTTTGCCTCTCTGTGGAAAGGAATAAACTTTAATCATGTGGCGGCAAGCAACTGGCAACATACATCAGCCAAAACATTTTTCAAATTATTGGTAAGACTCCTATAAACAAACTGTTTCTACCTTATGACACCCCTGTCCCAGACTCCAGCTTCCTCTCCAGAGAATTGCTGTGACCTGACTTTTTTTTACTGCAATGCACTTTTGCCTCTCTGTGGAAAGGAATAAACTTTAATCATGTGGCGGCAAGCAACTGGCAACATACATCAGCCAAAACATTTTTCAAATTATTGGTAAGACTCCTATAAACAAACTGTTTCTACCTTATGACACCCCTGTCCCAGACTCCAGCTTCCTCTCCAGAGAATTGCTGTGACCTGACTTTTTTTCAGGAAGAAGTTAATGAGTCTTTCCTCAATGAATCAGCAAGAATAAACTTCAGTGCTCCTACAGGATTCTTAAAACAAAAATCCTACCAGAATTTTGAATGTAGAGTTCTGGTTTTCCTACATAAGTTTAACAGTACCATGAATGTTGAGTATCGCCCGTCACATAAAAGTTCTGTGTATGGAAAACATGCTGTGGAGCAGAAGTAAAGAAATGTCACTGGGGGGGGTGGTATTTATATTGTCTTTCTGGTCACTCTCCCTTTGTGAGTTCCAAAAGACTATCACTGACATACTAACACCCACACTCCCCACCCAAGCTCTTTTTATTATCTCAAAAGAATCTTACTGACAGTACAGATACAAACCCAGCGATCATTCAGCGACAAAGAGGACAAGCCTTATGAATCAAAGGAATGCAACAGAAGTGACAGTAATTTGCGATCCTATGAAAAAAGCCTTTGATTCTGGAAAACTTACATGTTTCAGCCTCTGATATATTCTAAGCCAACTATGCTTGCTTTGAAATTAAAGAGCTCTAGACTGTCATCCATTGAAAAGGGGTATTTTCATTACTAGCCACAAAAATTTAACATAGCATGTAGAAGTTTATCTACTTTTTCTCCACTGTCAAACATCATAATCCAATATTTGTGCTAGTTACAACCTGCCCAAATCCAAAAACCTTCAAATTGTGTCCTATGTGGAATTTGTGCCATCTCAACACAGGTAACGAGTTTCCAACTGGGTAACTAACTAGACTTTAGCATTCCCCTGGTGACAGTATGTAAGGAAGAACAGAGTCTGTTTCACTGGAGGTTTTTCAGGTTTTCAAAATGACATTTGTCATTAGCAGATGGCTTTTCGAAGTGAAAGTCATGTCAGGCATGTGTATTTTTCGTGCTACAGCTGTTTGTCAGCATGGGAACACACAGCAAAATTTGAACAAAGTCAAGTAAATTTCCCTCTTAACCTAAACGGGAGGAAGATCAGAGTGTCCACAATTCTAGGTTCACTTCCTCCATGGGTTCACTGAACCAAGTTTGTTGATTTATGAAGAGATAGGAGACCTAGCATTTTTTTCCTTTATTTCAACTCTTCTGAGATTAAGGTCTTGTTCATTTGCAGGAATATGTGACATCCTTGTCTTGATCTTCCATAGATTCTCCACCCACTTTCAAATGCACACAAATATCCCTCACAACATCCCCTTTAAAAACTTATGATGATGATGATGTTACTCATCCCATGATTTGTCTAATAATTCTGTGGCTCTTCCCTTGCTCTAGGGATAGGCCATCAGTTCATATAGCTACGTGTATTGCCTCAGATTCAGTATGGCTATCAGTTTTCATCACATCAAAAACGACTGAAGATGCCCCCCTCCCCTAAAATACGGAATCATAGATTTGTTTTGGTTGGAAAATACCTTTAAGATTGAGTGCAACTGTCAACTTAGTACTGACAAGTCTGCCCTAAACCTTGTCCCTGAGCACGACACCAACTCGCCTTTTAAATCCCTCCAGGGATAGCGACTCCACCACCTCCCTGGGCAGCTTGTTCCAATGCCTGACCACCCTTTCGGTGAAGAAGTTTTTCCTAATATCCAATCTAAACCTCCCCTGGCACAACCTTTACTCTCAATTATAAAACAATTTTTTTTAAAAGACTTATTAATACCTGCGAGAGAGATCAAAAATTTTAAAGTGAGCCAAATCAGTTCCCACAGCCAAGAAATTTCCGCAGACATCCAAGAGGCACGGATTCCCCTCTGCTTCAGAGAACACCAGCAGCTGTTTAACTGTGCCCTGGGAAGAAATGTGTGACACGAGGTTTGTGTGGTCATAGTGTAACCAGAAGGGACTTATTTTGTCACCAAGTTAAGTAACTAATTGGTGAACTCCTATGTTAGACAAATTGCTACCAGCAAAATGACAGAAATTACATGCACACAGTCTCCACAGATATAATCTCTGATTCAGGTTGAAAACTGGATGTATAGCCTCCAAAAAAGTAAAAATGCAGAGGCATCCTCCTGCAACAACTTCCTCCTCGATAACACAATTTTTTGCAAACTAAGAACGATACAAAAATACAGATCCCTGAAGGTCTTTTAATATAGAGCTGCAAAAATAAATATATTCATTCAATCAGTCCTCATTGTGATAAATCCCACCCATTCTTGAATACAATATTTATTTCTTAAATAAAATTATGTATCATAGAACTCTAATTAGATTTCCTCTTTTTGGTTCTCATGGCCTAGCAGAGGCTGCAAAGGTTAAGAAAAAGATTTTGCAGGAACACACAGAATGTGCAGACTTTTTTCATTATCTTACAAGAATATTCAGTATGTTCATATTCCTGTCAGTAATATACATATTCAACATGCATGAAATTTTGACCCTCTTCAAGTCTGACCCTTACAGAATTCTGTTTTCTTGTATAAGTACTTAATAATTACAGCGCAGCAGTGTTTAAAGTTACACAGCTTTTTAAAGAACACAAAATGTCAAATATTTTTAGTATCTCAGCAGGATAGATATCTTTTCTATGACAAAGGTAGAGTTAATAGATTTACAGAACATGAACTCAAGTTTTATGCTGTAACACCAATCTTTGAAAACAATAAGGCAGATCCATCGCTTCATGGTTTCATCAGCCCTTTACCTGCCAGGTGCGGACCTGGACTCGATACGGCTCAACAGTGTACAAATTTTCTCCATGCACAGACAGAACTGGGGAGTCACAAAGAAAAGAGCCTGAAACAATCACAATAAAGCCATCATTAAAATAAACAGAATTTTTTAAACGAAAGTAAAAAAAAAAAAGGAATTTTTACTTAAAGCCTTCCTTTTCCACTGTCTTGCACCAAATCCAGGTTTCAATCCATCGGCCTCCACTAATTCACAAACTCCCTGCTGTTGCAGCCTTCTTCCATTCTGACACTACAACCAAAAGCTGGGACT